TTGGGGTCCTTCATTTCTGTAAACTTTTTATATTGTTGTATTATATATTCTTTATTTTTTTTCAAACAATTTTTCTGTAGTATTGGCCCCATTATTCTCTATTCTGTAAACCTCTTACTGACCCTCATATATCTTAGTGATTTTTGTGTTGTCCAAACGGAATTGATTTTGATTAGATCTAGGAAATTAAATCTAGATCATGACGATATACAGCATGAAATGCATAGGCATCTCTCTAGTGTACAGACCATATTGACCTCTAGAGGTCTTTTGGTTTCGTGTCGTTGGGTTGCTTTCTTCTCACACTTCCTTCATTCATAAATGTATAGTAATGAAACTACTGATTAGTGTTGATAATCGTCCTTCTGCCATTCCAAATTGATTCAGTGTTCTTCGAATTCGCTTGCTCAAAGTAATGGAAAATAAAAAAAATAATAAAAAGAAACAATTGCCGCAATGAAGACTTTCTGAATTATCTATCCATGCAAGTGAAATCAATTATTTCATTTTTAAAATGTCATCGCTGGTCCAGTATTTCACAAAAAACTATTTTTGTTTTTATGTTGAGAAATTATTTCTCGCTTTTGAAAACAGAAGTTTTGGTAAAAAAAAATAAAATACGATTTCCTCATCAAACTGTAGGTATCATTTGCCAATATATTTATTTCGAAAAAAAATAGCTCGCTCGCTCGCTCCAATTTTTGTACATAAAAGTCCGAAGAACAAATTTTAAATTTGGAGTGGCCTTAAAAGATGTAAAATAAAGCGTCACGCCCATCATTTCTGTTATCTAGTACAGTTCTCTTTAAAAGAAAATATTTACGTCACGTAATCTCGCATTAACTAATATAAATGATAAGTTTTTTACATCACTATAGCCATTTAAAGGGTTCATTCAAATAAAACTAAGCATGTGACAGGAATCTACTTGAATAAACAAACAAAACTTGTAAGGGTAGATACATTTACAACATGTACACTGTGCAAGTTAAATTTACATAGAAACTGAGGGATGCATGTCGGCATAACTTCCTTTAAGAAATTAAATCGTCAATTTTTGTAACAAAAAGATGACCTATAGATGTTAATTTATGTGTCATTTGGTCTCTTGTGGAGAGTTGTTTCATTGGCAATCATACCACATCTTTTTATTTTTTTATCATCTTATTTTAAGCTCACCTGGCACAAAGAGTCAATGTTATTTTTTCCATAACACAGGGCGTACGTCGTCTGTCGTCGAAGTCCGTCGTCCGTTATTTTTTTCAAAAATCGTCCCCTCTGCAACTTCCGTGCCATATAGAACCAAAGTTAGCCACAATCATCATTAGAGTATATCGTTTAAAATTTGTCCGATGATCACATCTGCTGACAAGGCCAAAAAAAAAAAGAACATAGATCAAGTATTTTCTATTATCTTATAGATAAAGAAAATCTGACTGGGCAGAAATTTGACTTTTATCTTTTAAACTATACGCGTATACATGTATAATAGAAAACTATCAATATCATTAAATCAAAAATAATCAGCAGGACATGATCTACAAATAAGTTGACATAGCCGAAATCGTAAGTATACTTCTTAAAGGTTTTACATGTTTTACATATTTTGCCTTTGATAGACGATTTTGCATCCATTTTTTACAAATTAATTCTGAACCTTTAGTAGATAAATGGAAAATGTGAACAGTAAAACAGATCAGCAGGACAAGATCTACAAATAATTTGACATGACCGAAATCGAAAGTCGATTCCTTATAGAACTTATTGTCATTGAAAGTCCCTTTTTACCCATTTGTTTGTGGTTTTTTGTGTGTGGACACTATTGAAGATAGATGGAATCTGTGAACAGCAAAAATGACCATCAGGACAAGATCTACAAATAAGGCAACATGGCAGAAACTGTGAGATGGCCCATCAAAGGAGATTTTGTCCTTGAATGACGATTTTTAACCATTTTCTGTTATTTAAGCGTATAGTATATGTAGAGAAACTGTATGAAGCAAAAATGTTCAGCAGGACAATATCTACATATCTACAAACCTACGTACAAATTGTATATTATCATTGATATATTGCTATTACTTTTTTGTAGCATCTTTTCATCATTTCATTATATTTTTACAGACAAAATTTACATTTACAATCCATTTTGTTGTTTTAATTTCAGTTGCTTTGACCGCTTGCACGAAAGGATGTGAATACCGAAATGGAACACTAATTGATTTCACAGACATACGGCAATTATATGGAATAAAGAATATCGATGACTTTAAGAAAGCAAAGAAGTTCACATGTCAAAGTTCTGGACTTTACCTACTTTCTGTATACATTAATTCTTTTTCTCCTGGCTCAAAATATAGATTATTGAAAAACAATACGGAATTAGGTCGTGTACAAATTGCACCTGATCGTGACCAGGGTACGAGTAGTTGGCACACCGGAAGTGGTGTGGCAGTGGCCATGTTGAAAGTGAATGACACCATGTCAATACAAGCATGGAGTTCCGTATACATCGCGGGATTATATTCATGTATTACAATTATTAAACTTTAAATTAATAATTTAAAACTGAAATGTGTGTAGAAAAGGGACAGTTTTCTAAAACATCTGCGTGGCGTGAATTTATGACCATTTCTGTTGTAAAGATTTTTATAATAAAAAAATCAGTTACAGGTGAAAACACCATGATAAAAATCATACCACTTCACACAAATATACACGTATAGAAATAAGTAATACACATTCTTTATAAAAAAAAATTCGCAATTTTTGACAATTAACTAAGAGCAAAATCTCTTCATTATATATGAAGGTCCAATATCTACATGATGCAAAAGCGGTCCACGTCTCCTTTCAATTACAGGCAATTTTCATATACTGGCAGAACTTTGTCAAAATTAGAGAATCAGGAATTCGTGAAAAAAAAAACAATCCTCAATCCACGAACTATCGGTGCCCATGATAAAAAATGAATCCACAGAACGTAGACAAATCCGATTCACAGACCCCAATTTTTGACATTTTTACCTATTATGTCTGTTTGTTTTGTTCACACATTGTTGTCAATATAATGGAATTTTATGCGATTGTCATACAAGTGAGAGGTTTAGCTAGCTATAAAACCAGGCTAAATCCACCATTTCTACATAAGGAAATGCCTGTACCAAGTCAGAAATATGACAGTTGTTTTCCATTCGTTTGATGTGTTTGAGCTTTTGATTTTGCCATTTGATAAGGGACTTTCCGTTTTGAATTTTCCTTGGAGTTCGGTATTTTTGTATTAATTTTTTTTATATAATCTGATATCGCCCATTTATCGAAACAATGATCCTGTTCTTGTTTTCTTGTTTATTCAAGAATTGAATGCTTCTTTTTGTAATTTTATTGGGGTGTAAAGGCGTTGACCAAAGCACACGATTTGACGTATACCCACACCTTTTTACGAATTAAAGGGGAACAGAAAACGCTGTGTTAAAAATAGCGCAAAATAAAGCAAAAAATAATAGTCCTTACAACATACACCTGAGTTGATTGAACCCTATTACAATCTTGTCACGAAGGATGAGCGGTTTCATCTCCACTTGAAATTGGTGAAAAGTCGAATTAGGGAAAAACCATGAGGAGGAAATGACGATGGGGACATGACGGCCTAAAAATGACATAGCATTTTATAAATTTCGTTTGTCTGTAGGGCTTTTCTGGATTTCCTCCCTCAGGAATGATCAAACTCATACATTTGAAAGCTAGGGTGCTTTAAATAAGTAGAAACGTTAGGAGTTATGTAACAAAAAAGAATATAAAATGAATAACCAAATTCGTCTTGGTCAAATTTGCCTGAGTGATGTGATGACATTTGTCGGTGATTTTGACAACAATATTTCTTGATGATGGACTTGGTCAATATTGTCATGACATATGTAAAACAAAACAACAGGATACCTCGATGGTCAAGTGGTCTAAAAAGTTCATCTATACATTGATAACTAGCCTATCAACTCTGATGTTGTCCGTCTCCGACCTTAATTGACAAAAATTGCCAGTTTTCATTCCGAAGTTAGATAGTTCTCTCTGGATACTGCGGCTTCCTCTGCCAATAAAAACTAGCCCTCATGATAGAGCCAAGAATGGGGATAGTGGCTCAAAATATCGAAATAAATTAGATACTAATGCGCATTTAAAAAATACGTTTTCTTTAAATGTGCTTAACCTGATGTTTGAAAACCGTATTATATAAAACTAAGTTTTCCAGTCAAATGTAAAAGTAAGCTGAGGACTATCTGCGCATTTAGAAATATTTTTTAGAATTTAATGATTTAAATTTCTTCTTTTGAAATGAAGATTTCTCAAGTAGGCCTTTTAATATAATGAAAGAAACGTTGAATGTGATGACTTCATTATTTAAAAAACCCGGGCCTTGCTTTTGGTATCATTTTTGTAAGGGAACGACCAGTTAACTTTAAAAAGGGGGGGTTATGGTTTTTACCTAAAAAAAAAAATTCTAATCCCCAATTTGATGAAAAAAAATATTGTGGTCAAGCAGATGACAAAAAAAATATTCTGAATCCAGATTTTCTCATACCTCATAGTGTTTTCTGACTCCGACAAAAAAACATAACCACCCCCCCCTCCTTTTTGAAGTTAAATGGTTGCTCCCTAAGCACAAGATATTTATCTATACTGATATCACAAGCTGTAAGTTTGTATCAGACTCTGTATACTACAGGAACAAATGCAATTCGACAAATAAGAGTGAGATGAGTAGTGGGGGGTAAACCTCAATATTTCAAAATAAGAAATACATTCTTTCGTGGAAAATTTGATAGCACACTCAGTAAGTGCTTGTGCTAGAACACGACATTTTCGATCGCGTATCATTTTGAGTGTAAAAGTGAGGCGAAAGATATCAAAGGGATATTCAAACTTATAAGTCGAAAACAAACCGACAATAAAAAACGATCAAAACTCAAATAACAGTATACAAACCACAATATACACCTGTAGAATTTTTATTTTTATTTTTTTTTGTGTTTGTTTTGTTAACAATTAGTATTTACCCCTTGTAAGTACGTTTTGACTATCATGCTTTGATTGCAAGGGTACACAACAATAGTATGTCTTTTTCTACGGAGGTACTAGTTAACTATATATTTCTATCATGAGGAATAAAAAAAAACACACAAGAGAAACTATAAAAGAAATTACATATTGCGCATAAAGAAGATTTTGCATGTATTCAAACTCTCTCATATATAATTGAGTTAAATATTAACCCCAGAGAGTTTCGACTGTTCTTGCCAGCCTCTTTTAACGGAACTTTATTGTCTAATTTTGTGCATGCCAATCATCCAGTATAAATCTAAAATTTAGGTTAACGGTGTCCATTTTCTGATGTGTATTTTAGGTCGAAGCTCTAGTTCAATTTGATAACAGTGAGACACGATTCGGCACCAAAGACATACATGCTAGTTACACTTTCTAACACTTCAATCCACACTTTATCGTGTAAATCAAGGGCGACAACTGCTACGCCCGTACCGGTATGATAGTTATGGGTATCATCGTCATGGTATGGTCCAACTTCTACTCGAATTATTTCTTTTCCGTTTTTGCTTATTTTGTATTCGGCACCTTTCGAATACGACATGATTTGAGCAGATATCAAGTATAATCCTGGACCTTGGGATGTGAATTTTCCTGTTGTGTTGAAATCTCCAAAATTGTCGATTCCGTATGAAGTTTTGATATTACTGAATGGTATAACGGAACTACCAGTGTATGCTTTGTTTCCTGACACACAGGTTGTCATGGCAACTAAAAGAAAAAATACAATCGATCAACATGTTATCAAATTGCTCTCAAAAGTGTGGAAAGTTGTTAAGTATGAAAAAATATGAAACAGTCATTTTCTTTAAGGATAGTTCAGATAAGAAAACGTTTGGGTATTAGTCCACTTTTAATTTCTATATATTTTTTTCACTTTTGCTTAGTATATATTATAAAAAAAGTAAAACAACAAAAATACCAAACTCCAAGGAAAACACAAATCGGAAAGTCCCTTATAAGATTTCGCTGGAGCTATTTTCTCATACCTTTTCCCGTACTTTCCATGTAATTTTTCACTTCTTATCCTTTCCCCAACTTATCATGTAATTTTTCACTAAATTTCTTCACAATTTGTGTTATTTATAGAGAGAGTTGATAAGTGAATTCTCTGTTTGTGTAATGTATAGTCGTTGACTAAAATGAGATAAGTTGCTTTTAAAACTTGTCGATATTAACGTTATCAGTATAGATCGATCGATTTATTTACTGTTATTTTTCTTTACGTCAAACTGTGACATATCGGGAAAAGATGCATTTTTCGACTGATTTTTATCATTCAGACTGATTTAACTTGAAAACGAGTTCATGGACCCCTCTTTTTAAAAACGACATTTGGCTTGATTTTGTGTGAAGATTTTTTTTGCCAATTTTTATGAACACATCACCGATGAAATTTTTTTAAATTAGATAAAAAATTACTGCAAGAAATTTTTTTTGACTAAAACCAGGAAAATGTGATAAAAATGAATTATTTCCAAAGAATTATTACACAAATTCTTATTTTGTAGAGAAGATAATCCAAATGATTTTACCAAAAATCCGCTTGCGTTTATCTTTTAAAACAAAAAAGTTAGGTAAAGCTTTCCAACGGATAGAAATGTCCAAGAAACTGAAATTTCCAGTTAATGTCCAAATTTTCGGCCCCATTTATCTCTAAAAGTAGCACATGAATGTATATTTTTATAACATATTTGAATTGAATAAGAGAAAAATAGCTTGACTGTATGCAAAATTTCGTCAAAAAATCACCGTGGGATCAACACTGTAACGTATGCCCTTAACGAGGCTGTCAGCACTATTGGCTATTTCGTGGCGGTCAGTTTTTTATTGGTGGAGGAAGCCGGAGTGCCCGGAGAGAATCACCGACTATCAGTATGGACTGGGACTACTTAGTATTATATTAGTATAATAGTCCCAGGTATGGAGGAGGTATTTGTTTTCACATGGCTGGTAGAGAGATCTGTTTAAATTATTTATTTTTTTTTAAGTTTTAAGAATCAGCATATTCGTTAGATTCTATATTTTTTTTCAATTTGAGTAAACCTTATACAAACAATGAAATATTAACTGAATACAATACAGATGTTAGTTACAATGGATAATATCAAATTAAATTTATACAAACTCTGGCCAATGAATCATGTCGGCAAGATGTTGAAAACACCAACATCGGGAATGGCTGTGCTGGTACTGTCTTATTTTGTTCTACAGAATGAAGCAATATTGTTGGCCTTTTAACTTTTTTTAATTCGAGTGACATTCATGAGTCTTTTGTATACGAAACGCGTGCCTGGCGTACAACTTTATATGCCTGGTATGTTTGAGGAGTTTTCTTTTAAATAATTCTATGTTTAAAATAAGAGAGAATCCGTGTATCCATAAATGCTATGCATTATATAAAACATGATAGGGAAATAAAGAAAATGTACCCTGCATTCATATTTCAATAAGTATATATATTAACAAACTATTAGCAATCTACATGTCTTTGGGTTTACGAATACACTATGTATTTAAGATAAGAAAAGCACACAATATATGTTTGTAATGATTGTTTTAGACTTTCTGATTATCCGAGTACAAAAATTATTTACTGAACTTCATTTAGATAATTGTCTCATAAGCAATCATACCTCATCTCCGTATTTTATATAAACAAAGATATATCAACACATACTACCACCCTTCCCCCCTCCCCCCCAAAAAAAAAATAATTTGAAAAGACTTAGGCGGCTCAAATCCCACCTCAAACCAAAAGAATAGTCGCATGTTCGAAGTTTATGCAGTTCCTGATTCGTTAACTAAATGCATCAGTATTGTTTGGATTTTCTCGAAATTATCATGACAAATTCATAAAACAAGTCAAAACTACTATGAAACTCGACTTAACATGTTTTTCTCCTTATAAATTGAATGTTACCTTAACTTTTGATGTGATAAGGATAGTGTTGGAAACTCTGATAATAAAAGATTATTATACTAACCTTTGCCTTTCAAACTATTCTGCAACACCGGATGCATAGCCTCAGAGAAGTTTCTCTGCAACTCTTCGAATTGGTGTTTAAGGCTCCCTAATCCAGCTATGAAGCTATGTATATTCATATTTTCGTTTTTCATTATGTTTGAAATCGCCGTTTTAAACTCTGTTTCAACAGATGATATATTTTGAGAGTATGCTGCCATTAAATCGCTCACATCTTTCTTGTGACTGTTTTTCAGTGTACTCAGCTCCTGCCATATAGTTGCAACAGTACGTGAATTCTGGGTAATTCTGTCATTTACACTTGCTAGTTGGATAGTGTCTCTCATCACCTGCGTTTCGATTCTGGAAATGTTTTTCTCCGTAACTGCTTCAATTGCATCAAGAGTCTGATTAATCTGCGACTCAAAGGTTGCAGAAAGTCCTGTATATAGATCAGGATTAAATTTACTAACAGTACTATTAAACTCTTGATTCAGCATTTCTATTCTGACTTCAAGCTTATTCTCTAAGCTAGTAAAGTTATTCAAGCTCATTTCGGAAACTTGAGCTATATGCTTTTCAAGAACATCACAATGCGTATTTTGCATTTTCTCTAATTCGCTTATCTTTGTCAAAGCATTTCCGATGGTTGAGTTATAATGTTCTTCAATACTCACGATTTCATTTTTCACTTCGGTTTGAACGTTACCTATCTTACGACGAAGTGACGATTTTAATTGAACTATTTCTTCTGTTAGGTTTGTTTTTATTGAACTTGAAATATATTTCTGTTGTTCAGTTTTTTCTTCGATTTCCTGTAAACTTTTGTTTTGTCTCTGTTCAAGAGATTGTAATGTCAGCTCCAATTCCATCGAAACAGAGGCTATTGTGTTGTTGCTAACTTTACCAGTTTCGTCGACTGATCGTGTTAAATTGTCATTTATTTCCACCAATTTTGCGTTAAGTGCCTGCATTCTACCGTTTAATTTTTGTGAACTTGAAAGGCATGATGTATTCACGGCCATTATTTTGCTTTCTAATTTTGCATCAATTTCTGTTACGCTTTGGTTACATTCTAATGACAAACGTTTTATTGATTTTGTCAAGTTCTGTTTTATTTGGTTCTCATTGATTTTAAGCTGTTCTATGTTATTCATGATAACTTGTGAGTTTTTATTATGCATTTCGGTCAGAGTCTGGATCTCCTTATTCAATTTTGATTTTACATTTCGAATGGTTTCCGTTAGATTGAATTTAATGAAATGAGATTGTCTTGAAAGTTCATCTCCATTGTTGTTAATGTTTACTTTGTTAAAGTTTATCATTTTATTTGTATTTGTAACTTCTCCTAGTAACAACGTTTTCCATGTGGCAATTTTCCTATCACAGTAGTTCCTAGTTGAAATATTTAATGAGTGGATTAATTCGTCAATTTTGTTGTCAATACTTGTAATATTCGCCGTGTTAGTACCGTCATCACTTACTCTCGATAACAAGAGATTGATTGTAGCATTTGTATCTGCGAGAATTTCTTCAAAATGTTTTGTTTTCATTTTAACAGCAGCGAGATCACTTTCGATATGACTTCTGTTGGAAACCGATATACTAATTTTTTTTTCAGCTGCTTTAATTTCGTTATCCAATGCCTTCTGTTTATAATTAAATCCAAATAGTAAGCTATCTACTACGTTGTCATACAGTTCTAAAGATTTTATTTTCGCTTCTATATTGTGGAGGCTATTATTAAATTGATTTGCTTCCTTTTTACTCGAAGCAATTTCGTTAAACATGCTGACCACGTTGCTGCCAATCTTCAACACTTTGTTACTAATATTTTGCAACTTTGCATTAAAACTGTTTGCCATTTGTGTTAATTCAGTCGTATTTGTTGTAACATCCTCCATTTTATTTGATACCCAGCTTTTGATTTCTGTTTGCATCTTTTGGACTTCTTGGTTTAAAGTCTGTTCTAAAATAGTCTGACGCTGTTCCAACTTCAACCTAGCTTCACGTTCCTCCATCATCAGTTTCATAATGTTTTGGTACGAAACCTCCAAAGCATTCGTTCCCGGATTATGTGGTTGTGTATATTGAATGGTTTTGGCAATGTGTGCCTGAGTATGGAGAATTGGCGTATCGGTAGCGGATTCCAGTTCTTGGACTTCATGCTTTGATTTTGGTTCTAACGCAACCAGTGGTATATTTTCTGAATTTGATTTATGTGTCCCTTTCCATGGATTCATTGGCCCACTTACTAAAATATTATCTGTCTTTTTATCTGTAGATGTAAACTGTTGCTCTACTGCAACCAATGATATTTTTTCGGCATTTTCTTTCTCTGGTGGTATCCAATGAATTGGTGGCCTAGTAACAGAATATTTATCCAACTCTTTAACAACATTCGGTGACGATTGTTGTTCTAATGCAACAAGTGGTATATTTTCTGAATTTGCTTTGTGTGTTCCTTTCCAAGGATTTATCGGCCCGGTAACAGAAATCTTATCCGTCTGTTTATCTGTAGATAAATATTGTTGCTCTACTGCAACCAATGGTATTTTTTCGGCATTAACTTTTTCTGGTGGTATCCAATGAATTGGCGGCCTAGTAACAGACTCTTTAACAACTCCAGGTGACGATTGTTGTTCTAGCGCTACTAGTGGTAAAGTTTCTTTCACTTTAATGGCATGGACTAGTAATGTTCCGAATAGTATTGCACAGGGTAAAGTAAAACTTCTCATGGTTACTTGCATTCAGATAGCGAAAAACGAAATAAGCTCATCTGCATTACATAAACAGGAGCATTCAGGTCACTCCAAAGCAATAGAAACAGTGAGGTAATTCTTTATATAAACCCCAAGATGTTACTTACGGTATTTATTTAGGAAAGTCTTACAAGGATATCAAGGTATGTGTCGGTTACGCTTTAAACAAGATACGCACCTTAACTTAAGATAACTGATTATTTGGTCAGACAATCGTTGCTTGTACACAAAAGGATCTGATGGTGTAACCAGTCAAAGTTTAATTAATACCTGAACAAGGAATATTTACATAACCATACAGATGAAATCCAAACTAACTAAGATGAACTCACTGTTAAACGAAATTCCTTTGCTACTCTACAGCGCAAGACGAATGATATTTTCTCTTCCAACAAACAGGATGAATACGAAAGCTTTCACTTGTTTATGAAAAATGGACTAGAATGCATAAATCTATTTTATATAAGAGGTTACATTTGAAATATTGAAAGTTATCCTTGTGATCGCGACAGAAATACTGCCGTTAAAACGTTTAAAGCAATGGAGATACAATAAAAGAACGTTCTTGATTAAGTTCAAAAGATGCACACAAATATTTTTTGACTTTAGTTGTATAATATGTATGATTATTTAAACATCCACTATAACATACACATTAAATGCTTCTCTAACATGTCATTAAAATAAGTAATACTATTATTAAAAAGCATTCGTAAAAACACAAATGTTTCTCCTTGAAAAAATATGCATGAAAAATGGTACTCAAATTGTATTCTTATTAACATTTATTTCTGTTATATTTCGGTATTTTAGTCAAACTGGACGTATTTAGCTTTAAGGAAAATAATTTGGGCAAAGACAGTTAGTGCCAACATGTATTACTATTTGACAGAAATTATGCTTTAGATGTCTTTAGTTTGGATATATTCATGTAAACATGACCCATTCGATCTGCAAGAAATGTTTAAAATCATGATCAAAAACCTTTCTCTTGTAAATTAAGATGGCCAATCGTTGCAAAATTTACCAAATTTAGGGCTGTGATTATTACAAATTATTAAATCACGGCCAAGCAATGCTGAAACGACATATACTACTTTGAAATCATATAACAGACTGTGTAATACTTCATAGAAGATGATTTGTTTGTCAACGCACATGATGGCAACTAATTTGGAGTTTAAGGTGGTACCCAACACCTTGACTAATATTAATTTGGCTCGTTTAATTTTCATAAAATTTTGACAAAATGTTTACTTTGACCCTTTGACAAAAATATAAAAATTTCAAAAAATTTGAACCAACCATTTTATCAGAAAAAATTCATTGGTTATATAGCAGTTTGACAACCACTAATTTTGATCATTGATAAGCTTAATATTTCCTTAAGAATACAACGTAATTAAAACGTTTAGCTGATTTTTACAGAGTTATCTCCCTGTAGTGTTAGGTACCACCTTAATGAATCAATGGTGATCGTTCATTCCCATTTTTATCGGTTTATACTTGTATTGTATTTTATTTTATACGAGTAACACGATGGGTGTCCCGCATGGAACAGGATATGCGTACCCTTCCAGAGCACATGAGAAAACTCGGGGTTTTTTTTTGTGGTATCGTGTTGCTCAATCCTTATTTTTTATGTAAGTGTTTTGTAGAAAGTAATGTTCTTTGTCTTTTTGTTATTTTCGTTTTGTTTTTTTTTTGTACTGATTTTGTTGTTCTTTCTCCAATTTGTGAGTTTTGATTCTCACTTTGGTATATTCTGCCTCGTTTTCAATAAAATTGAGAATAGAAATGGGGAATTTGTCAAAGAGACAACAACCCGACCAAAGAGCAGAAAACAGCCGAAGGCCAACAATGGGTCTTCAACACAGCGAGAAAATCCCGCACCCGGAGGCAGGCTTCAGCTGGCCCCTAAACAAAAATCTGTACTAGTTCAGTGAAAATGGACGTCATACTAAACTCCAAAACATATAAATGAACTAAAATTAAAAATCATACAGACTAACAAAAGTATGCATACCGCCACATTCGTTTTTAGTAATTATACCAAGACATCAGCGAAATCACCGATGTTCATTTTGAAAATTCATTTTGGCAACTGATAGGTATATGAAGTGATTACTTCTATTGAGAGAAGTAAATGATCTATTTTCATCACATTTAATTACTTTATTCCGTTTGATATGGACTCGTTTTTGTTAGTCTTAGACTAATCTTATTACAATATTCATTATAAGTAAGGATATAAAATATACACTGTAAAATTTTTTTTTTAGAAGTGACATGATTGCCAATGAGGCAACTATCCACCAGAAACCAATAGAAGGGGATGTAAACAACTATAGGGCACTGTGCAGTCTTCAACAATGAGCAGAATTACTACCGCGTAGTAAGCTTTTAAACATGTTAAAGGCATGAAGCGAAACAATTCAAAAGAGAAAAACAACGGTTTGATTTATGACTTGGTTAATTTAATCTTGTACAAGTTGATTAATTGATTGTCGGTTAAACGCCACCTACAGCACTCTTGGCTATATCATAATATATAAGAATATGAATAAAGAAGATAAAGCTGGAAGTGTCGTTAAATACCAACAATTGATCAATCATTATTTTTCATCCGCATATTGTTGCTTGATCCGTATATTATTGCGACGATAAATATAGTACATTTGCTATTACTTACAAAAAAAATGTATTTTGATTACGGATGATTTTGTATTCAATAATTTTTTTATATTTGTTTGAATTTTTCTGTGTGTGTGTGTTTTATGTAACTAAGTAATAATATCATGTTTCAAATGGCCGTGTTTAAGCATCTTTTTAATAAAAGTTTATCATAGTTATTTTATACTTTGTATTGACACATTCCACCATCATCATGTATAACAGTATCATTTAATGAGTCTTTAATGATACAACTTTCGACACGCGGATGTGTCCTGTTTTCCTTTAAAAGAAACGGTTATGATTTGACAAAACAAGCCTTTATCTAAACCAAAGCGGATAGACAAAAGTTTGTTGTAACTAAGAACAAACGGATTGAGGAACAGATGACTCTACTCTGAATACTCAATACAATATGATCAATGTGAATTAGTATAAGGATTTCCTACCCCAGGAATAGATAACCTAAGCTTTATTTGGAAGAAACTTTCAGAATTTTGTATTCTCAATCCTCTTCAACCAAGTACCTTATTTGGCCTTTTGAACTTTTTTTTATTCGAGCGTCACTGATGAGTCTTTTGTAGACGATACACGCTTCTGGCGTACAAAATATCAATCCTGGTATCTATGATGAGTTTATTTACTTGAATTCTTAGAAGAGATAGGATTATTTTCCCCTGTGTGTGTTTCCTTCGCAGATTTGAAATTTAAAAGATTTCAAACCCTACTGGAATTTGAATATTAAAAAGCCTTCATCAAAACATGTTCTACGTTATTCAACAATTAACGTAAGCCCATATAATTTAAATACTATTCAACACCACATTTGCCGATGAGGAAAAGATTCTTAACGTCCAGTGGCAAATTAAATGCGTATTCAATTTTACTGTGAATAAACTCATTATAGATACCAGGATTCAGTTTTGTACCGCCTAGGTGTTCTAGTGGTAGCGTGTTCGCCTCGAGTGCGGGAGGTCGTGGGTTCGAACCCCGGCCGGGTTAAACCAAAGACTTTAAAGTTTTTTTTACATAAGACGTGCGTTTCTTCTACAAAAGACTCATCAGTGACGCTCAAAAATAAAAATGATTTAAAAAGGCTAAATAAAGTACGAAGTTGAAGAGAAATGAGGACCCCAAAATTCAAAAAGGTCTTGCCGAATACAGCTATAGCTTATACATTCCTGGAGTAGAAAAATCCTTAGTATTTCGAAAAAATACAAGTTTTTGTAAACCGTTGATATATATATATATACTAGTATATAGTTAAGTTCAAAATGAACGCCTGGTATAAAAGCCATAATTCTTTAA